AGAATGTTGGGAACGACATATCCATCCTGCAGAACTTGGTATGTGGACAGGTAGATGTGGCTATCGAAGAGATCCAAGTAGAAGTTATCGATAGTCTTCTCCATTGTCCTTCTGGAAGATGTGATAGATCCATCAGGACATCGGAGGGCAGTCATCTTGGTCCTGTAGTTCATGAAGGACAGGTGGGCATTGTGAATGCTTTTGCTGGCTTCTGCTGCATCTGCCAGCACTGCTGCTCTTCTCTCTTTGAGGTCTTCCTTTATCACTATTCTGCACTGCTTTGCGAGCTTGGATGTTCACTTGTAGTTGCCTGAGGCTTGTGTCAAGCCACGTTGGTGAATTAGTACAAGAGTTTTCGAAGACAGGCGTCTTTTTGTGGCATGCAGTCTACCTGGGTCAATTCTAGGAATCCCAAATGGTTCCCTGAGTCCTACCAGGAGTCAATCTAGATTACAAATCAGGATTTTCTCTGAGCATCTCTGGCTATGGCCTAAAATATATAGGCTGTGGAGAGATGGACATTTGATCATCATGTGATTGTAACCCAAACATGAAAGCTTGTAACTATCTCACGGTAATTCAATAAAATTTTATATATATATATATATATATATATATATATATAGTCCGTTTATTTTCTTTATTTGGGTCTGGCTTAAAAGGGAAGATGCTGGTGCAGTTTTTTATTAACTGAAATAATGAAGCTGAATTTACCAAATTTGAAGTACAAGTGTGATACATAATTTTGTATGGAAATTTGTTAATAATTTCTCTATAGAATATATGTCCTTGAAGCAAACATTTTATTCATTTCTATTCAAGTAGTTATTGGTTAATATTCATTGAATAAATAAGTAAATGGGTACCAAATAAATGTATCGTATTGTGAAAAATTTTACTAGTCACTTTTTTTCACAGTGAAGAGACAATTTTTAGGGAAACAGTTAGAGTTTAGAATCTTGAACAATTACAATGGATTAGTATTATACATATAAGATAGTTGTTTATATGTCAAAATAGGAGTTTTCAAAATTTATTACTTTTAATAATTATTTTAGGTATTTGAAACAGTATCTTCTGGTCTATAGGAATATACCACAGATACATATCTATTAACAATAAATTTAAAAAATTTTCTGAATTATACTTAATAGATTTGTATTTATTAGAATTTTTACCTTGATTAGTTTTTCTAAAAGAGAAACTTAAAATTTTTCATATTAGCCAGTCATTCTCTTCTCAGAATCATAACCATTATTGTATCATTTTCCACTTATCAAATATTAATATAATACTCTAAAAGCATTATTGGATAGAGTGGAAATGAGATTGATGTTGGGTAGTTGTCAGAAATAATTCTCTTTCTGATATTAATTCCAAACACAGATGTTGATCCCACACACAACACAATATGTGAACCAGGCTGATCAAGAGTAGTCTATTTTAAGTATGATTAACATGTCCTTCATGAAAAATTTTCTTCCATTGGACAAAGAAATTAAAGAGTCAGGCATTTCAATAAGTGTTATTAAGCACTAGCAAATTTAGAACATCCAGGGCTATTGCAACCAATATGTTTGAAATCCGCAGTCTTGAATTCTGTTCATAGAAATCATGATGACAATAATGGAAATAAATAATGGAATCAAAAATGGATTTTATTTATTTATTTATATTTTAATTTTTATTAGTGAGACACCATGAGGTACAGTTGTAGACTTACAAGTTTTGTGCTTGGTTTTCAATTATACAATGATCAAATACCCATCTTTCCACCAGTGCCCATTTCCCACCACCACGGATCCCAGTATCCCTCCCACCCCCCTATCCCCTCCATCCCACCCTGCCTCTGTGGCAAGGCATTCCCCTTTGTTCTCTCTCTCCTTTTGGGTGTTGTGGTTTGCAAAAGAGACATTGAGTGGTAATCATGTTTGGTCTATATTCTACTTTCAGTATGCTTCTCCCATCCTGGGAGGATCCTTCCAACACCCTTTATTTGGTGCTCCCTTCTCTATCTGAGCTTCCTTTTCCCCTAGCATGTGTGGCTGACCTCCAAGCTATGGAGCAAAATTCCTGGTACTATTCTCGGCCATCCTTGGGTGTTAGTCTCCTATTTTATTACTTTATATTCCCCAGATGAATGCAATCTTTCTATGTCTATCCCTTTCTTTCTGACTCATTTCACTTAACATGGTACTTTCCATGTAGTACCACTTGTATGTAAATTTCATGACTTCATCTTTTCTAACCGCTACATCGTACTCCTAAAATTGGATTTTAAAATGAAAGATGTTTGTCAAATGGTAAAATTTCCAATTATAAGAAAAATTAAGTTTCAGTAAACTCACGTATGGTATGATGACTATAGTTATTACAAAATTAGAAATTTGTATTCTAACCAAGGCCATGAGAGCAGAGAGACATAGAAGGAATAGAGAGAAAGAGACAGATAAAGAGACAGAGACAGACAAAGAGAGAGAGGAGAGAGGAATAGGAGTAGAGAGAGTAATATGGAAGAAGGAATGGAAGAGGAAAACAGAAATATGAGGTAAAAATATATGAAGCATATTGACTTAATAATTTCACAGCACATATATAAAATAAAATTTAAAAAATCACACGGAGAACTTTATTTTTATTTATTTATTTATTTATTTATTTTTGCTTTTTGGGTCACACCTGTCGATGCTCAGGGATTACTCTTGGCTTTGCACTCAGGAATTACTCCTGGCGGTGCTCAGGGGACCATATGGGATGCTGGGAATTGAATCCAGGTCGGCTGTGTGCAAGGCAAACGCGCTACCCACTGTGCTATCACTGTGCTATCACTCCAGCCCCTCACACGGAGAACTTTAAATTACACAATTTTTGTTTGCTTGTGAGACCATGAGACCAGTGGAGACGTTACTGGCATCCACTCTAGAAAATCGATGAGCAAAGGGATGACAAGTGATACAAGTGAATGAGACCATGAAAGTTGAAACAACAACAAAATATTCAACAAAAATATATGAAGTCATTACTATGGCATTTTCAACTTGGACTAAGCTTTGTAATGCTGCAGTGTTCTGAGTGTCTTAAAAGTAAATTTCCCTCAGCTTTAATGTTTATAAAAATCGTTTCTGTAATTCCACGGAATGCTCAGGCAATTGCAATATGAAAATAACAAGAATCCCATAAAAATATGGTCATGATCACGATCATCCTGTTGTTCATCAATTGCCTCGAGCAGGCACCAGTAACATCTCCTTCTTCCTAGCCCTGAGATTTTGAAAGAGCCATATTCAATGCTCCTTCAGGGTTAGGAGAATGAGACCTATCACTGTTACTGGTATTTGGCATATTGAGTACTACACGGGAAGTTTGCCAGACTCTGCCGTGCGGGCAGAATACTTTCGGTAGCCTGCCAGGTTCTCCAAAGGAAAAATGAGATAATAAGATGTTGTGCAGCCGGAGATGGGTTTTATAGTCTCTGTGTCTTGGCCGTTGATGGGACCTACCTGGCGCTGGCGGTAGCTGGTGGGTGTGATGCCTACCTACTGGAAGATGGGGGATCTGGGAGGAGAAGGCCCAGTCCCAATCCGAGCAGGCTTGGAGATCTCAGCCCCGGGATCGGCATGCCTGGGTTCCTCTGTCAGTTCCTTCATGCATGAGGCTTGTCCGGACATGTGGAGAGTGGTCTCAGCATGACTGTGGCTGGTTCTGGAGGTCTTCGGCTGCTGGGGCTCTGCTGGAGGGATGGGGAAACTCAACCCGCCTCCCTCCAAGGGGCCCCGGTGAGGACAGCCAGGCGTGGGGGCAGGAGACTCATAAAAATACATTAAACGTTATTAAATTTTGACACCAAATCTAAAATACAATTCCTTAATAAAATTACATTCTTCAAGCAAAAAAGAAAATTTTAAGCAACTTGTGAAATTTTGTGCTCTGTTTCACATGTAATAATCACACGGACGAGGAAAACATAAGTTGATTTGAAATCTGGGGCAGAATTACTATTGTCCAATAAGACTATAAAAGTGATGTAAAAATGACATTTTACCAGAAATTGATTTCATAATATCCTTTTCCTTTATTTAGCTTTGGAAACATTTATAATTCAAAGGTAACAAAAATAAGCTGTAATGGTGTACACTATAAATTAACACAGAATTCATTTCATTATCTGTTCTATTTTGTCCCATTTGACTATTTCTCACATGGCATTTTAGAAGTCTTAAATGTAGAAGAACATGTTTTATTGATCATTTAACATCTGCAGTTTCATATATGGTCAACCATAAAATAGATCTATTCATTATTGTGCTGATATACATAATTTTGGAAAAACACTTACTTGTGATTTTGTAAATGTCAACAGTTTAAATGCCAACTTCAAACTGACATCTAACACATTGCACACAGGTTGCACAGAAATTCACAATGGCATCTTTCAGATTTGTCTGAGCTGGTCCAACACAATGTGCCCACAATGTTACAGAGATACTTGAAGTCTCCCTTATATTACCACTTATTCAATAGGAAATACTGATGTTACTTCATTTACATCAGTTTTCCATCTTTGCTTTTTTATGACATTCCTACTATTGCATTAAATTATGTTTGGGATTTTCTCTATTTAGTAGTTACTGTGAGTATATGGGGGACCCAAACTAAATAATTAAGTACAACTCCTTATACACTGATCATCAGGACTTCTTATCTCAGATATTTGACTCTTAAAGAGCATAGTAAGTTCTTCATGGTATTTGTTGAAACACCAAAATTTCATTGAAACTTCTGAGTGTGTTTTATTTTAGAATGGTTCATGTATTTTAATAGATACCAAAGCAGAAAAGTTCAAGAATGTTTTTGCTTCAAATTCCCTAATGTTCAACTTCATGAACATTTCTAGTTTCCAAAAATTTACCTACAGGCAATAACTTATCAGGATCTCTTTTCTACAGAGAAAATCCTAGTGTCAAGTATCTATTTATTTGTGTACTTAGTATGTAACCACTCTATGTTTTTGTAAGAAGGTTGAGTATAGATTTGCGAATCTGTTTTGTTTTTACACTATAGATAATGGGGTTGAGTACAGGGGGCAAAATCAGATACATATTGGCCATCATTGAATGAAGCACTTTGGGAGCTGAGTGACCATAGCGATGTACTAAGGACAGGCTTACAAAGGGAATGTAGAAAATAGCAACTGCTCCGATGTGGGAAACACAGGTGCTAAAGGCCTTGTGCCGCTCTTCAGGGGAGGCAATACTGAGAACAGAGCGAATGATCAATATATAAGAGACAACAATACTTGGTGTATCTATCCCTGTTGTCAGGACAAGACCAATTAACCCAGCGATGCTGTTGACCCTAGTATCTGAACATGCCAATTTAATGATATCTGGATGATAGCAGTAGGAGTGGGAAAGAATATTTTCTTTACAGAAAGAGAGACGTCTAAGGAGCACGAGTACTGTAATCATTATTAGCACAACACGTATAGTTATTATTAGAACCAGCTGAATGATTCTGGAATTGGTGAGAATTGTAGTGTATCTCAGAGGGTTACAGATAGCCACATAGCGGTCAAAAGCCATGGCCATTAGTACACCAGATTCCATGCCAACAAATCCGTGGAGGAAAAACAATTGACTGAGGCAAGAATCAAGACTGATTTCTCTTGCATTAAACCAGAAAACAGTTAAAGTTGTTGGCATTGTAGTTACTGTTAAGCTCAAATCTGTGGATGACAGCATGGAGAGGAAATAGTACATGGGCTCATGGAGGCTTGACTGGGTAATGATGACAAACAGGATCATGCTGTTCCCCAAGATAGCAAAAGCATAAAGACAACAGAAGGGAATGGAGATCCAGACTTGGGCAGACTCTAAGCCAGGAATCCCAGTCAGCAAGAAAGTTGGAAATGTGGATGTCTTGTTACCTAGGCTCTCCATGTGTCTTGGATTTGTAGTATAGTCCTCACAGTGCTCAATTTATTTCTATAAAAATGATATATATAATTATTACGTATTGCATTTTGCATTACTAGGAGAAATACCTAAGCTCACAATGAATACTGTATCAATAAGCAAAAACTCAAAATCTACCTTTCTTATTCTTAAATATGATATTTAGCAAATATTTATTAACACTTTTACTCTTGAGTTTTGAGATACAGCTCCATATAACTTTCTATATCTTAGCATTTGATTTTATATTGATAGAGTGAAAATATTTATTAAAAATTTTATTGTTATTGTATTTGGGCCACACCTGTGACACTGATAGAACAGATTTTTTTGATAGTTTAAAAGGGAATTATATTTTGACATTGCATATAAATATGAAAAATGTACTGAAATATATTTTTATTCTGTGATTCTCAGAATCATTATTTTTGTAAATCTAGCAATAATATGGAGTCATATTTTTTTGACAGTATTACTTAAGTACTATTTTATGTAAGGGGTGAATAAAGTAAGAGAGTTATATAAAGAGTAATTAAGTGAAAGAATATCTTTATTAAAATATTTTTAGATCCTTATCTCAAAACTAGATTGTAGAAGGAATTATAGGAAACACCGAAAGCAAGAGAGTATTAGATGAGGAATGGATTTTTCAAGACAATGATGTGGAATTATTTAATATTCTAGTGTCAGCCTAAAACTCAAAAATATTAATACTCTGTGGTAGTATACCATATATCAGTTTATAGTTATATGTCTTTTTATAGTTACCATAAAAAGAACAGGTTAAGTACAAGAATGAAAGCTGAGAAACTGCTATAGTTGCCTGAGCAAGGAATTGAAAAATAAACAGTAGCATCATTTTGTACATTTTAATTCTTTTGAAAGTTGCTTGTAAATTAAAGAGGAGAATAGACCATGATTAAAGAAGATCTTAAAGGACTGGGGAGGCTCCTCAAGTGGTACCCACTCCCCTCTCCCCCAATCCCCTGTGGGTTTTTGAACACCAATGCCCTACCTGGCTCATTTCTACAGAGAATGGCCCTTATAAAACAAATAAGAAAATGCTAAGGTGAATAGAGATTTTAGCAAGATTGGAAAACTTAATTATATATATTTATAATTATAAGTTAAAGTTATAATTGAGATGAAAAATTTGTGCCTTTATAACTATTGAACTTGGAATAATGTCCTCACATTTCATCCTGTTTCTGCTTATGTTAAAATTCTCTTATTTTTAAATCAATACCTATTACTGAATTTCAGAATTTTTTAAAAATAATTTATTTATTTATTGAATCACTGTGGGAAAAGTTACAAAGCTTTCAGGTTTAGGTCTCAGTCATGCAAATATCAAACACATTTCCCTTTACCAATACTTATTTTTTACAACGAAGAACCCCAATAAAACCCCACCTCCCACCCCTCCCAATGCCTGTGAGGCAGATGAATTCTAGTTAACAGTCTATTTACTTTGACTAGATTCATTGTTTCGATAAAAGATGCACCATTATTATTTAGAATTTACCCCCCCCCCCAAATCAGGCATGCTGAGAAAGCGTTGTGAAATGATTTGCTTTCTACAGCTGGGTTCAAGAATTAAATGTTGTTGGATTTTTTTTTTTGGATTTTTTTGGATTTCTGCTATTTTACTTATTAACCCTGGAAGTATTTCTACTGAAAGTCAGATAATTAAGAGATTGGTTTCTGTGCTCTGGAGTCGTGGCCGTGCCGGAGAGCCGCTTGTGGGGGCCAACTGGTGACCTCGGTAGGGCGTGAGAAACGGGCCGGAACACCCCCCTTTCCATGAGGTTTTAGTCGCCCCCACACCCCCGGCTCATACCTGCTCTCCACAAGGCTCCCATGCTGCCACCATCTTTCCAGAGGGGGGAGGACAGAGGGGAGTAACACCCTTTCCCCTCTGGGCAGGCATGGTGGCATGGATGAATTTCAGAATTTTAAGGGACAAATTAATTACTTTTAAGAATATAGAATGGTGAATCTTTTTTGAGAGTAAAGCAAATTTTTCAGTATGTTTTGCATGGAGAAAAAATATTGGTTAAGTGGTCAGGAATTCAAAATAATTTTTGATTTGGGCCAAATCTGGTTATTCTTAGAACTTACTTATGACTCTGTGTTCAAGGTCACTTCAGAAGGTGTTTGAGGACCATATGCAGTTTTGAGGATCAAATGGGTCTAAGGCAAGCAAGACAGTTACTTAACTGCTCTCCAGCTTGAATTTAAAATTACTTTAAAGTAATAAACATACATTGTTACAATTAACTCTAGAAATATTTTAATGATTTAAAATAATATATTCAGCACTATATTTTTCTTTCTGTTTTCTTTTTTTGGATTTTGGGTTACACCCAGATATTCTCCGTGTTGCTCCTAGAAGTATATGGGAGACAATGTTGGATGATAAGTGGGGATCAAACCAAGGTTGATCACATGCAGTAACTTACCCACTGTACTATTACTCTGCAACAAGTCCTGTAATCTTTTTAAATTTTTTTTTTGGAGGGGCACACTCAGCTATGCTCAGGAGTCACTCCTGGCTCTGTGCTCAGGAATCACTACTGGTGCTGCTTGGGGGATCGTATGGAATACTGGGGATCGAACCCAGATCAGCCGCATTCAAAGCAAATGTTCTCTCCCTGTGCTATCTCTCAAGGCCCAATTCCCATAATTTTCAATAAAGCTTTTAAAAAATAACACATGCACTTCATTCCTCAGAATAAAAATATAGCATATATCTTACCATTCCTTTTATGCTTTTCAGTATGCTTTCTTTTTCTTTTCCATTCCTGGAGGAGTCAATGAACTGATAATTATCATTTTAATATGTATATCTGCAAACTAGAAAGAATCAGATATCTGTGTGATATTGAATCCCTAGGACAGACTAGGTCCTAGTGGAATCTCATTTCACTCCCAGACAATAGGATCATTTGACAAAAAAGTAATAACAGTAGTACAACTCCAACCCAAGGAGGATCTTTTTCTATCTTCTTAACAGCATCATGTGAAAAGAGGAGGCTTCTCTGACCACACCAGCAAAGAGAGAACAAATATGGTTTGAAGTCAAAGAATTTATAATAAAGAAGCTTGAGCTGTGGTGAAAATTGGTAGCTATTCAACTCCTTGGGGACAGAGATAAAAATCCCTTTTCCCCATCTATAAATACACCATAGTACAATGAAGTCTCAGTAGAATTTTAGCTACAAAAATCAAATCATAAATGATCATAGAGTTCTAAAACGTAACCAAACTAAATCAAACCATCTGTATAAATGAAAAGCTTATTAGACAATGTTCTAGTTATTGGGGTATATATGGATCCTTATAATTGTTCTTGGTTATTAACCTGCTTGAGGTAGAAAAGTAAACCAATATTTTCTAGGGTAATTTTAGTATCATAAGGAGAAAATAAATACTTCAGTCCAGTCTCTACATCTGGCCGACCCGAGTTCGATTCCTCCACCCCTCTCGAAGAGCCCGGCAAGCTACCGAGAGTATTCGATATGCCAGACACAGTAACAACAAAAGTCTCCAATGGAGACGTTACTGGGCCCGCTCTACATCGTACTAGGATACAACTCCAGGAGGGATTATTAACTGGTAGGAGGGATTATTAACCCATACCTCTATCCAGGCTTTACCTACATTTTACCTAAGACATATAGCTTCATGGTATATTAACTGGACTTAACTTTTATGGTGTACTTGATTACTATGAATAAATGTTAAATTTTCCAATTAAGTCCAAAGGAAAGTTGAAAGTTGAGATATAAATTTGCTTAAACTCTTCATTTGTCTTTGATTATAGCATATACTTCATACTTCTCAGCTCCTATGGAAATAATAAATTATATTGGTATACAAGTTATAAAGATAAATAAATTAAAAAGAATTTTGTTAGATATATCCTGATGAACAGATGTGATTTAATTAGTGATCAAATGTGTAATGAATTAATTTATCCTTCATTTTTGAAGATGAATTTTGCTGTCTAGGAAAGAGAGTTACATTAGCAAGCAAAATAAAAGCTATTCTACTAAACTCTTTATTTGACCAACAGGTTATCTAATAATTTGGCAAAATATTGGAGTTGTGAAAAATGTTAACTTAGATTCAATATTTTCTATCTAAAACAAATATGTACTTATTTATCATTCTTTATTTTAGTAGAGTTCCTCCATCTCTGTTTGCTTTTACGTAGGAAATACACTTTACATAATATCTACATCCTAGCAAGTCTTAGAGTATAATGAATTATTATGAGCTTTAAGCCAACGGTACACTAAAGTGCTTAATGTTGAGGAAGAAAGGGCACCACAAAGAGAGAGGAAAAAATAGTTTTGATTAGATATAAATTTAAGAATATATATATCCTGCTCAGGGTCAGGCTCTCATTTGGCCTTTATTTAAATGGGTATCATTTATTTATCTGTTTTTATTAAAGAGCCATAATTTATAAAGTTACTGAAGAGTTTTAGAAATGCAATAATTTAGGTTCAATCATCTAAATGGGAAATATTTAATCTGCAAAAAGAAAAGCTGAAGCTGTGGCTCCATGGTAAAATCCTTGCTAGAGAATTGGTCTCTGACACAGAAAAACACATTTTTCTGTATCACTGTCACTGTCATCCCATTGTTTGTCGATTTACTTGAGCGGGTGCCAGTAACGTCTCTATTTGTACCAACCCTAACCCTGAGATTTTAGCAGCCTTTCCTTATTCATCTTTCCCAATGACTGGAGTCTCTTTCAGGGTCAGGGGAATGAGACCTGCTATAGTTACTGGTTTTGGCATATCCATTATGCCACAGGAGCTTCCCCCTGCAGGAAAAAATACATTTGTAAAAATAAAATAAAAAAATTTCAAGATCCTTCACACTGATATTCTGTACACTATTTTTTTTACTTTTTAATTATTTTTAATTGAAATTTTTTGAAACATCAGATTTTACAAAGTTTTTAATTGTTG